TTCTCTCACCATTAACAGTGGCATATATATCGAAACAGTTTTAATTTTAATTTTAATTTTTTTGGGAAAAAAACAAAAAAAGAATAGTGAAGCTGCAGAGAAAGTTCGTATAAAACTGGTGAACGTGTGTACGACCTAAACGTCACTTGGGTAGCACGACATAACCAATCATCGTTTTGATTTTATATTATTAACTATTCAATTATTATCTTTACATACTAAGTACGCTTAAGTATCGTATCATCAAAATTTGAAGATACATGAAAAAAGTTTACTGTTTCTACACGACAAATCAAAAAAAAAAGCTCAAGAAAACAAAAGTTCAAACTCACAAATGAGATTTCTAAATAACTGAAACAAAGATTTCGAGATTACACCATTTATGAATCCAAAAGAACCCTAAACACAACTCACATTCCATCATCAAAGACAAATGATAACAAAACTTTTTTTGTCTTGATATCTTTTTTCTTGCTTACAATGGTTTCTCAGTTCTCACTGTGAGAGTTGCTAATGTCCTCGGCTCCTACGATCATTTGATCAGCCTCAAGATTTGAATCCTGCAACTAAGAGAATGAAAACAAATGGAGTGCATGTCATTCATATTAAGAGCAAACCAAACTCAGGACCATAAAGTCCTTTTAAAAACAAGTAATATAGTAAAAAAAACTGATGTTTCTCACGTCATTCGTATTCGCAGACAGATTATGGGCTTTTTGAGGAGGAGGAGGGGTTTTGGATAAATCTTTAAGAGCTCCCTGATATTATTATCGCAAAGAGAATGTTTTAGATCCGATTGATCAATGAGTCAAAAAAGTGATAAGAGATAAGGCGATCAATTTGAATAAAGAAATTATTAGCTTACCTTGTTTGCCCACATTAGTCCACATGCATTACAAAGTGTCCTTGGCCCTTCAGGTCCACGTCGCATCATTGGAGTTGACTTCTCACTGATTCCGCAGTGCCGACATCTTAACATGTTCACAACCGTTTGAAGAAGAAAAAGATCAGAGACAAGCTTTGTCAACTTAAGTATACCAAGGTATAAATAACTACACCATCTCTAAAGACTTAAGATGCAACAACATAGTAGGTCTCGATTCTTAAATCCTCTTGCAAATAAGATTTATGAGTTATGAAATGAGTGATGCTTTGATGATATGTATATGCTTCAGAGCTGAGTTATCTAGAAAAAGTTTATGAAAGTGAAAAGAACCTCCCCAAACAGTAACCAAATCAATGCTTTCTATGTTTCTGAGTTGCTTGGTTGAGGTTAATATTAAACTTACAAAACCTCTGGCTTCTGAGTCTCACATCCTTCAACGGCCCAGCTCTGGCTTGACCCCCAGTCCGATCCAGTGGATGCAGAATCATCATTGCTTGACTTGGCAGATGTGAACTGACCTTTCTTACGCTGCATTCTGTATGCGGAAAATGAAACCTTAATTACAAAGCAGTGTATCTCAAAACATGGATATATAATCATATAAACAAAACCTAGTTGCTGAATCAGATGTAACCGTACCTCAAGGCTACCTCTTTCCTGACTGTGTAGCGAATTGTCTTATCAAAATTCCTCCCTTTTCGTTTCTCCCTAAATCTAATCAACGAGGCTTGCCGCTGCGGGACACTAAGCCTTGGAGGAATACCAGATAGACCCTAGTTCATTTATTAGTCAGCAACAGACTCGAGGAGTAAACTGATTTCTCATATGGTATTAAATCTTTTGTTACCAGTACCGTATTGATCTGATGAGGTGATTCTAGGGTTGTCGGGGCTGCATGTGGAACTTCCCGTCCACCAAGTAATAAAAGCACAGCTTGAACCTGCAGTAAGAAAATATCAAGCAACGCTATAATATGCAGAACAACACCAGCTGGCTGGATACGCTGACCATATGTCGCTGTAAACAAATTTAAATTATCACAAACAAACAATCAACGAATCAAATCACTAGAAGATAAAAGTCACCTTATCAGGCATGACACGGTCAAAAACATAAACTTGCCCCTGAAAGGACAATGTCAATTGATCTCCATTTTCACTACCACGGTCGACAACTTCCCCGCGATGATCAGATGGGATTCCAGGGTGAGAAGGAATTCCTGTCTCCACTCCCTCATTCATACCTTCATCAGCATGGTCATCCATCATACCATTTCCATTGTTGATATGGTGCAAGCCGTGATGATCATATTGCAAATGCATTGGATCTTGAGATTCATCAATGTTGTGCATTCCACCATTGCTTCCATGAAGGTCATCATTATCCATGGTCTTTATTCACCAAGTTATTACCAATAAACGTACAGAGAAACAGAACATTCATTAAGACTGGAATAGATTTCAGGTTTCACTAGTTCTATACCACATGCATTTTGTACAGACACGCTCTTACAATATACAAAGTACGATTTCTTAGCTTCCAGAAATTAGAATGGTCTCTTGAATTGAAGCATTTACAAAACACATCAACAGTGATAGTACAAGGAGAGCTACTTCTAGAACGAAAGTAAATGAAAATAATCGAACTTGGAGATAATCTCTAAAGTAACAACAACAGTCAAACACCTTAAAAACTTTAATTTCCAAATCCAGCAACAACAAAAAAATCATGTAGCTTTCGCATTAACGAGCAACATAGAGCCTACATAGAATCAATCGGATCCGATTGGAAAAAAATTATACTTCTTTTACCCATCCAACCTTAACTGATTGATGCCAACTAAGAAAACCCTAGAAAAATTAAGCCAATTCAACAAGCCCACCTACAATCTAGAGCCCCACTTCGCATAACAGAAGATAATATCCTCTTGCGAATGATTTCGACAAAGGAACAAAAAGCTCTGAAATTGAGGTCAAAGTGCGTACCCGTTGCTCGAAGTAGGAAGAAGCAATGGATAATTCAATTGGAAACAAGGAAGATTTGATTATGCAATAGCGAAAGGGTTTTTAGGGAACGAAAAGGGAAAACGGAGAGGAGAGCGAAAAAGGAAGCTCTTTGA